AGAACAACTTATTCTTCACCCAAAAGGCCGCAATTTTTCAGGTGATGGTGATGCTCATAGAGTGCGCACAAGCACAGGTGGCAAAACGGCTTAGGTCGTACCTGCTAGAATGCTAGGCATTTCACATGAACCATCATGACAAAAACTGTGGATGCAGTATTATGATGGCTTGTTCTGGTGCAGCCAAGTACCACCCATTCAGGCAAATGGGATCATGGGTATTGGTCCGTCATCACTGAGTGGCGATGCCATTTTGGACAAGATCTTCAAGGAGTTTTTCCGAGTTCATGCTTGCAATCTGCCTTTTAACATTTCCGGCGGAGGATCGCGAGCACGTCAGCCACAAAGTGTTCTCCATTTGTTTGGCAGAGTCGTGTACTCAGGATTACGAGGGTATTGTTCGCAGCATGAGCTCTGGTGCTTGCGGTTACGTTGTGTCCAGGTGGGGAGGACAGTTTAACGTGGGTGGCTATGACGAGTCGCTGAAACCTTGGATAATGGTTGTCTTTTAAATGTGATTGACTGATCACTGCAGTACTGCTAAGGTACCACACCGGACCTGTGCAGAGAATACGATTGAGACCCGGTGGCTTCTACAGTGTCCATTTGAGTGCCATGAAGGCCTTCACGCAGAGGCGCCCAGTTGTAGCTTCAAGCTGCCAGTGCGAACTTCAGGTGAACGGGCTGTCGATTTCATCCAGCTGGGGCAGCACGATGATCGACAGTGGCACAACGTGCGCATTGCTTAATTTAGGATGGAATCAGTCGCTGTGCCTGGCTTGTGCGGATGGCATGCCTTGTTGTTGGGCAGCCATGAATTTCGAGTACCGCTAGCGTCTTCGCAGGTCGTTCGTTCTGATATGAAACTCGGCCAGGCAGCACAAGAGGGCATAAGAGGGCCATCAGCGCAGGTACACCTACATGCGTAGCAGCAACTACAGAGCCCTGGCGGGTGCCATTGAGACATACTGTCGAGGCACGCGAAGCCAACGGAAAACTCGGTTGATTATTGCGCATTATGGATGTCAGGTCATCAGTGTGGAGGTACAAAGCATGGCACGAAGTGCTGGACCTTGCCGCATGGACCGGACAAGTCAGCCACCTGGCCTGCCTGCACACACAACAATTTTGGTGCTTGGATGTGCTTGGGATCTTCAGGTTTCCCCACATTGCAGTCGTATTCGACGGTGTGGAGACGAAATGGGTTCCAAACGCATACTTCTACAGGCATTGCCTGTGCTTCCTCGCGACGAATTCTTTTTGCCCGCATATGGCCAGGAAAGGGAAAACCGACACCTATTGTTATGGCTTTGAAGATGATGGTCCCCATGCGAACACAGTCTTGGGGGCAGTCTGGATGACACATCAGGCTATGCCCTCGTGTGCTTGGTGGGCTCTGTTCTGTTTCCTGAGGCTGCCACAAAGTTGCGGTGTTAGATTTATGGAGGATATCATCTTCGACATGGAGAGAAGTGAAGTTGGCATTGCTCCAGCAAACTGCTGCATGCCCAGAATTTTCAAGTCCTCTCTAAGAAAATATGCCTAGTGCCTAGCGCTGCAACTGAGGCCCTCAGTACCGTGACCGGCCATCCCACGTGGTGCAGGCGCATGTGGTTTGCGCTGGGCTGCATCCACGATAGAAGTATCCTGAGGCTTCGTCTGAGCCACCAGCATCAACAACGATTTCAGCTGCGACGTCGCCAGCTCCAACCACACAGCTTACTACAACACCACCAACCACCTTGCCACCAGCAACCACAGCCACACATACCACTGCGAAGGTCCTTCCTGTCGCAGCTGTATCCACTACCCAAGTGCAAGCCATCACAAGCAAACCTTTCTCTGCAAGTTCAAGCATGGCCAGTTTCTCAGCTAGACCGTCAGCAATGAGTGTAGGCTACACCGTGTAGCTGACGATATCTTCATGGCTCATCTTCAATTCATAGATGCCCAGACTAGACATTTTTAGTCGGTTCAGCTAATGTCATACTTGTTTGCTGCAAAGCACGCCTTTGGTAAAGTTGACGCTTCGTGCAACACACTTCACTGATGGCAACCCTTGCATCTGACCCCTGAAGGTCCCAAGCCTTGAAGTAGTGAGAAGTGGTCCTATGAGAAATTGGCCGCTGCTCTGTACTGCTTTGAGCAAGCTTGTTTTTTACAGATTGTTTACCTTGATGAATTCTTGCTGAAAATGCGGGGCAGTTGCCGCAGTTTAGATACAAGCCTTCATCTTCCCTCTCACTCTCCTCCTTAGCAAAGAAAGCCAAGAGCCAACATCTGCAGAGTCAAGTCTTGAATGCCTTCCTGGGTTTTGTTTCGTTGTTTGTTTCAATGCGGATCCTTCATGAAATGCTGCAGCAGTGATGCAAGATTCACTGAAGAAAGCATGCTGTGGGCAGATCTCCCAGGCCAGTCCAGTCTTTAACGGGGCTGGTGGTGTGGAGCTGACAGGGCAGCACCGTGGCGATCCTGAGTGCTCTTCCCAGCAAAGTGTGAAGCAGCCATGGCTCATGCTCCACCAATATGTTCGTGAAGAGGGCTTCACGTAGTCTTAGGCTACCTGATCCCAGTGCTTGGAGCTTGGCTGACGCTGCTACAGACCCCCACAAGACGTGCCCTTTTGAGCGAAGACGGAGGTCAGAAGCACAGTATTGCGCAGCACCACCGCTCCAACTTCCAAGCAGGAACGCACAGATTCGAGCTGCGTCACTTTGGGTGACATGTTCCTTGTATCAGTTTCAGGACCCCATCCCAGCTCGATTCTTGGGACAAGACCCGCTACATTTTATTGGTGCGGTTGTGGCTGGGATCCTGATCGTGGGGAACCTGGCTCCACGTGCGTGAGGAAGTCAGGCTGTATCTCTTCTCTGCAAAGGCTTGCCTCTGCCTCTTCCTTGTCCGAAAGACTTGCTTCAGAAAACCAAAGCACAGGCAAAGGGATGCCCCTTTAAATCCAGTAGGCAACGGGAGTCTCAAACAGGCATATGAAGCTCAAGGAGGACGAGGAGTCTGGGATGCCAGGGTCCCAGTCTGAAAGTGCTTTGGGCACGATCTAATTTGCAGCGTGGAGGCCTCCGCAGATCGTGGGTCAGACCGGTGAGGATGCAGGCCTCACAGATAAGCATATTGGACAACAGGAGTCCAGGAAGAAATGCAAGAAGCTGTTTGAGTAAAGCCAGCAGGAATTCGTTGTAGAAGGCATGGCACATGATTCATTCAAATGATATGTAAGGGCCGTCCGGTGACAGTTGCCACACTGCTGAAAGGGAAGGCTGAACATCGTTTTATCCGTTTGGGCGTGCTATTAATGAAAGAGTAGATTTTCCCACTACCGTTGTAGGAGGCAGGGCTTGGGAGGGTTGAAGCTTCTGCATGCGGTATTGCGCAAACACACACACTCACACACACACACACATGAGCTTCACTTCCGCGAGCGCCATTTGCGCATCTGGCAGGATCGGGATAACATGTTCAGGTAGACCCGCCTATCTGCTTGACCAGGAATGCAAACTTTGCGCGTACAGGATCCAGCCAAAGAATATTTGGTATGGAAGCGGAGGCACTTTGTCCCAGCACATGATACATGCGGCGGCTTGTCAGTCCTGCATCTCCATAAGCATAGGCTGTATGATCAAAAACACGCTCCATGCACATGTGGGAACGAGTGTGGCCGAAGTGGATGGGCGGGACAACCTCGGGGACCACAACTTCAACTCAATTCATGCGTGACCTACTGGTGTGAGAACTGTCCAGACAACACTTGCCATGCCTCAAGTTTCTGCTTCACGAGCTAGCAGTGCACCACAGGATGAATGCGGTCTTATCAATCCGAAAGCTGATTAAGTAGCCCACGTGGGTGCGTGATAACTGAGGCGGCTGTGAAATACAGGGAATCGCAGACATCGAGCGAGACTAGACGCAGCACGGACCAACTTTATTGCGGACTGTTCGATCCAACGTTTGCCTGCCGCTGTGCCTGGAGCTCCTCTTTCGCAAGTGATTTCCAGCAGCTTCTTGTGTGTCGTCGATGGGTTAAAGCCATCGCAGGCAGAAGTGCTTCGTTTCCGGTGGTTCAATGTGGTCGGGCTAGGAACTGTTAAGAGGAATCACGTTTGTCCGTTCCGATCCGTCACTTCACAGCAAGGGTTCGGGATTGGAGCTGCAGGTTATGCCAGGGATCCAAAGCCTCTGTGAGATCTGACGGTCCGGACAGGCTTTGATGCATTTGTCATCGGCGATGATGAGACGGAGCATCTGGAAACCGAAGGTTTTGAGTGCGCCATTGCGCATGAGTAGCCAGCCAAAGCTTTCTGCAGAAATTCTGCCAGGTACGTGCCTCAAAACTTTGCTAGTCAAGACCCATGGCCTCTTGGAGGTGCCGCATCATGTCACGATTGGAATAAACAGTTTTGGCTGGGATGCCTTTTGCAAACACAGGTGCTGTCGGCACTGCGCAGCCTCCAAAGGCACCTTTGATTCCATATGACAATGTGGTGTCATCAGCGAGAGACCTTCAGGAGGCCCGCTCCGCTGACTTACTGGACACAGCTGGACAGGCAGGTGGACCATTTTGGGATGCACCCTCGACACTTTGCAGCCCTGCCCAGCAAGTAGAAAATGCACGTAGATGTAGGAGTTCCAGGTGCTGTCAAGATCATTGTGCATACTTGTTGTACATGCCTTTGTGCCGAAGCTTGGCTACCACCGGGAGGATGCCAGCCAGAGTGATTCCAAGCGCGGCTGGTATCTGAGTATACCAGCATCTTCAGCACCGCCTTGAATGCTGCCAAGCTCTGCCTGAGGCATCGGTCCACACCCTGAAGGGCCATTGGACTGATCAAAGATTGCCCAACAGATCTTGGCCTCGCGCTGCAGCACTTGTGCAGGGCAGTCGCTGCTTCAGCCCAGACTTGCCTGTTCCGGGAAAAATCGGATTGTGCTCAGTACCTGGTAGTTGACTGCCTCCTGCTAAATTGATGGTAAGCCGTTCTTGGCAGGTATGTGTCTTCCTATGTTTCTCTCATTTCTCCCAGTCTGAATCTCAGTCGCATCACCAAGGCCCTTCACATGGCCTGCGAAGCTCACTTAGTGCACACCGGCAGGTTCCATCCTGTGCTCATGCAGAATCAATGTGGTGACGTCACCATGCGGGTCCTGGAGTACGAGAGCCAGAGAGCTCAGGCAAGGCATTTTTGGCCTTGGAAACCGGTTTGCCACTATTAGCTTTATTCACTCTTCAGGTGCGCAGGGAGGACATGGAAAGAAGACAGCGGAGGGTGCAGGAACTGGAAGATAGGTGCACGGCCGAGGACTGCCGGGAGCATCGCGCAACTTGCCCTCTAAAGTCCTGGACGCCTCATAGACCTATCTCAGGACAAAAAGTTATTGGCCAAGGATGAGAAGAAGTGCTCCTTCCTTTTAATGTTGGGGTATATTGGGGTCACCTTTCTGCTGCAGGTGTTTGACTGCTAGCTTGATTTGCCCCACCAAGCGACCTGAAACGCTAAGATTCAATTCACTGGTTTATTGACCTGCATTGTGGTAGGTTATTGGTCGGGCGATGCGACCATTAGATACAAACCCATGCATTCATTCTTAGCTTCTGGCTTGAACCAGGCTTTCTTGCCTTCCATGCCTATCTGGTCCAATTCAATGGATGCTTTTCTCGCCCACTGCTCTGATGTGGCTGACGCACGTCACTTGGAAGAGGTGCTTTCAGCTTCTCAACAATCTTTGGGAAACCCAAGCCTTTCAATTGTAAGCCAACTTGTGAGCTTGTGGGAGCTGGCAAACAGTTGGGCTGATGATGTGGCAGAACAAGCCGCTCGCTGCTTCAAGGAGCCGTTGCAGCTACAGGTTCGACACATCGGTGCCGTCATCCCAAACAGGTCAACTGGGAAAAGCATTGAGTGTCTTGCCTGGCGTCAAATTTCGCCGCAGCAAACATGCGCAGCATCAGCCGATCAACTATGGTTATTGTTCCTGCAAATAGATGACGCTGGATTGCTGTGGAGTCAGTACTACAATTTGTCAGATCCTTTGCAGCAGGCGTTCGGCGAAACTAAGATTGATTCGTGGCTGGCGTGCCAGTCTTCCTTGTCTCGAGCTGTAAACACTGCTTCTTGCTGGACTTGCGTGGTGTGCGCAACATGGTGTCTCCCAGTGGACGCCCAGTGCGGTAGAAGTTGGACTATGGCTTCGTTCTGTGAAAGTATGAGGACCTACCGCCGCTCGCGGAGCGCTCGCTGCCCTCAAATGGTTGCAGCGCAATGTGGGGGCAGTCTTTCACGCTGACTCAGAAGAAGTTGCTAGATATGGAGTCGATGCACCGGAACACGAGGAGGTTCCGGCCTCGCCTATGTCCGTCAAGATGTGGGTTCTCCTGGAATAGCTGCTTGGAAGTGCGACTTGTGGGAGATCCTGTCAAGCTTCTCTCAGCGTGTTGGCTGTTTCTGCTGGTCGGTTGTGTTCGTTTCAAACATTTGCAGCAATCCCACTTAACTGAGTGCCACGCGGACGGCCTGGAGCTCCTCTGCGCCAGAGGTAAGGCCCGCGTAAGGGGTGCTCAGCGCCCTTTCCGTTGGAGGATGCCTCGGTTTGGCATCACAGGAGTGGATTTGTTCCAGGTGTGGTCGAAGCTTTTGCGGACTACGTTTCAGGACTTGAAAGAAATGGGTTTTCTGCTGCCAGATTTCACGCCAAAACGCGCCATTGGAACGTGTGACTGGTCTGGCTAGAGGCCCCATGCCGCGGTGGAAGTTCACGCGAATGTCTGCAGCTTTATTCAAGAAGCTTGGCGTCAAATACCTCCACAAGGGCAAGCCGTCCGCGTTGACGTACATGAGCAGACGTGTTCTGCCCGCCCCGGCAGACATTTCCGATTTCCGGCCACGAGAAACGCTGGCAATTGTCTCTCAGCGCCTCAAATCCGAGTTGATCAAGGCGGCGCAGGTTGCCCGCTTTTGCTGTCAGAAGCAACATACGCATGATCCATCGTGGGAGGACCTCATTCCTCTGTGGCCTGGACGTGCTGAGCTTGCCGCGCTGCGACACCGATTCTCCCTGAAGAGCAAAGCAAAACAGACCGAGATCCTTTGTTTTCTGAGCCAAGCGAAAGCGAAGAAGAAGATTTCCGACGTGAGCCAACGTGGCTGCTGCCATCTTATAGCAAGCGTTCGAAACTGCACCTCCAGTCTGAGGACATGCCCGGCGTGCCTCGGTGCGGCAAGAAGCTACGCCGTCCTGCAGCCTTGGCGTCTGGCTGGGAGTGGTCTCCGACTTGTGCAGAAAGCTGCCCAGATCTGCTCAAGCACGTTGGATAGGTTTCAGCAAGTTAAAGGCATGATGTGCGCAAAGCAGTAAACCAATTGATGTCAATAGAGCGTTTCTCGCTGATCGGCGTTGCGCTGCAGCGGACTTGAGCCACCTGACCTGTTCGTAAGGCCCACAAGTGTCGCCATCAGCCGCGCTAGCGCCTAACTGTAGACTCTTGAGATCCCTCGGATGCTGTTGGGTGCACGTTGTACATTGGCGTGGGTAATGTCTCGGTCGAGCTCAATGCCACTAGGCATATAGACTGTCCTTTGTACTGAAGCAGTCCATTGGAACGGAGCTGATCTTCACTATGATGCGGCTCTCATATGCTCTCATGTAGTTCCCACATGTGCGCTCAAGCAAAATGAGCAATGGTCAATACTCGCG